GACCACTTTCTATTATGTCAAAAAGAGGATATCGCTACATATTAACCTTTATTGACCTTGCTTCTCGTTGGCCCGAGGCGGTGCCGATGAAATTTATCACCACAGAGGCAGTAGCTGAAGCTCTTATATCTATATTTTCTAGACTAGGGTTTCCTGATACCATTTTATCAGACCATGGATCTCAGTTCATCTCAGAGACCATGCAGTCTTTTGACAAACTTCTGTCGATCGCACACGTATTTTCAGCTCGGTATAATCCGAAGTCAAATGGTGTGGTAGAAAATTTTAACGGGCGCTTAAAAGCCATGCTAGCAAAAGTTACAGCTGAATTTCCAGATGACTGGGATAGGTATCTACCTGCTGTACTTTTTGCATACAGGGAGGTTCCGCAAGCCAGTACTGGATTTTCACCTTTTGAGCTTGTTTACGGTGCCAATCCAAGAGGCCCTTTGTCTATTTTAAAAGATCAGTGGTCAGACCGAGACAGGGAGGGTTCTCTTGAAACATACTCTGAGTTTGTGACAGAGTTGCGTCACAAAATTATCTCTGGTTGTGAAATTGCTAGACAAAGCCTGGATGTTGCAGGAAGTCGACACCGTGAATATGCTAACAAGGGACGTCGACTGATTTCATTGAAACCTTCTGAACAGGTTCTTCTTCTTCTACCAGACACGTCAAATCGACTGTTGACATGCTGGCAGGGTCCATTCGAGGTAGTGAAAAAGATTTCATCTGTAGACTATCTGGTTGATGTGAGAGGACATAGAAAAGTATACCACATTAATATGCTCAAGCTTTTTAAACCACGTCCAGCAGAACTAGAGACAGTTATCGATACTGCTAATAGGGAGATTGAGAACACAGATAGGCTTAATTCAGACGCTAATTTCTGTTACGTTGTTGACGAAACTCCATGTAATGCTGAGGAAAGTACCTCATTGCATATTGTGTTGCCTGCATTAGAGCCAAAGGAGTCTTGGAAAGATGTAGAAATTTCACCATCTATTTCCCAAGAATACCAACATAAATTCCAACAACTCTTACAGAAATTTCCAACTACGTTTACTGACATTCCGGGTAGAACAACGCAAGCTGTACACACCATTAAGTTAGTAGATGATTGTCCAATCAAGTTGCGACCATATAATCTACCGCTACACTATCAGGAAGCGGTTGAGAAGGAAATTGACGAGATGTTGCGTCTAGGAATCATAGAACCATCCTCATCACCATATTCTTTTCCCATGGTAATTGTTAAGAAGAAGGATGGAAACATTCGCATCTGTATTGACTACAGAAAATTAAACCGTGTTACTGTTTTAGATGCAGAAAATATGCCAAATATAGAGGATTTGTTTCACAGGTTAGCAGGAGCTAAATATTTCACAAGGCTAGATTTGTCAAAAGGATATTGGCAAATCCCACTTGCTGAGGAGGCTAGACAATATACTGCCTTCCAGACACCTCGAGGCTTGTTTCAATTTAGATATTTGAGTTTTGGGCTAACCAATGCTCCAGCTACATTCACACGCTTGGTTAGGAAGTTAGCTCAAGGTCGTTCAGACGTTATCTACTATTTAGATGATCTCTTACTATTTCATAATGATCTGGATGCACACATTCAGGGTTTGAAATCTCTTCTTGATAAAATTAAAAGTTTTGGCTTAACCATCCGACCTTCTAAGGTCCAGATAGCATTTCATGAGCTAACATTTTTGGGTCATGTTGTTGGAAATGGTCTACTTAAACCAGAAGACAATAATGTGGGCAAAATTCTAAAAATCCCTACCCCAAAAACCAAAAAGCATGTTAGAGCTCTACTGGGTCTGTGTAACTTCTACGCTAAATTTATTCCCCATTATTCCTCTATAACATCTGTGTTGTCTGAGTTGACAAGAAAGAGAGGTGTCGAGAGGTGTTTTGGGATGAATCCTGCGCACAAGCACTCAGCCAGATACAAAGAACATTTAACAATAAACCATTTCTGAGATTGCCTAATCTATCACTTGATTTTTATGTTTCCTCAGATGCTTCAAATGTCGCACTGGGAGCAGTAATTTCCCAAATGTACGATGGGACTTTACATCCTTGCCTCTATGCAAGTCGCAAATTGTCCGACACTGAAACACGCTATAGTGTCGGAGAGAGAGAAGCACTGGGAATTTACTGGTCCATCGCTAAATTCTCCAGGTACCTAATAGGGAGAACGTTTTATGTAATTACAGACCACAAGTCACTTGCTGTTTTGAACACAGGGTCTGTAACAAATGCCCGTATTCTTCGTTGGACATTGTTTCTTCAGACGTTTAACTATACCATCATCTACCGGAGTGGTAAGGAGAACGTACTTGCTGACTATTTGTCCAGATTTCCTTGTACGTCATGAGACAATCAGTTCCTTTTCACATTGGAATTTTTATACCTCACTACACTGCAATGGATGCTTATATATTGGTATCAACATACTTTATCCAGATATGTATATTTCAAGGACATACCTATGAGAAGTGTTTAGTTAGTTAATTTCTCAAGTGTTTTGGACAGATGATTCCATTTATTGGGATTGACAGTAATTATGATATGTGGATTTAGCTTATGAGTTATTAGTGAACCAGTTATGATATTATATTGTATTTCTTGTTGTTTATTTCATGTCTTATTATAACAAAAGTTATCATCATTTTGTTTACATGCATTCTTATTATAACAAAAGTTATCATCATTTCGTTTACATGCATTCTCACTTAACTGCATGTTGATTTCACTAGGTATATTCGAATATAAGTTGTCTAGATGACTACAACAGAGTTAAAATTGTGCAACTGAAAACGTAGATTTTCAGTTTGTGAGAGGAGGGGATAAGCTGTTGTAATCTTATAGTCCAAGAGTTTAAGTTTCTTCTAGTTTCTTCTAGTGGTCACAGCGCAGGTGAAAGGTTCACACAGCGGCCACCGGTCGGGTCTGTTACCTGGGATACCAGCTAATTGAATGCTGGGCGATTAACACAAAGGCTCCTGCAGAACACAAAGGATTCGGCAGTCAAGATATTTCCCTTGTTCGAAGCAGACGTTCCTTCTTTGTGAAGTTTGATTAACCGTACTTACACGGGAGACAGTTTAATGTCTATTTATTTATTATAATGGCAGGAGTCCATTGAGAAAAGAGTGTAATTCTTTTATATTCTCAGAGTAGATAATAAAGAGTTATTATCGTACGTTTTTATTGAATAATCATCATCATCTTGTGACGTGTAACTTTAATGCCATTAAAGTTTATGTGGCCTGTCACAAGCGTTATTGTTGGCTTGTAAAGGTAGCGACTGTATTACATGATGCTGTGTCGGTGCCAAGTGTGCCAGTTATAGAATGCAGGACTTCACTGTAGCACATCCATCAAGGAGATATCCAGCGGAATACTAGAATAGGCACCCTAGGCCTAAATACTTGGTTGAATATAAAGTATACAAAAGAATGTACAAATTAAGTGTACAACAACCATCTAGCATGATAATGGAGGTGGAGACGGTAACTGCAGCTCTCTGGTGGCTAGAGAACAAGATGCATACACATGATGTAATTGTAACAGACTTTGAAAGCATGCTGAAAAAAGTGAAGACACGGACGATGCAAGCAGAGTGGCAAGCTTTCCTTAGAAGGTCACGGGTAGTGAGCATACTTTGGATCTTTTCTCCAGGCCATGCTGGCGTGGTGGGTAATGAAAAGGGGGTGGGTCTGCAACACTGTATGGTGAACTGATACATGACAAGGCAGATGTGGTTAAGGCCCTTTGGGAACAAGCAACCGAATCAGTAGAAAAAGAAGATTATTGTGGCCTGGAGTTAATGAGGCAACTGGGTTTAACCAGAGGGTCTGGCCGGCTCACTACACTCAGAGGAAAGGCAAGATGGACTTTTAATTAGATTGTGACCAGTACCATCAGTACTGGAACTCTGCGCTGCCTGCTGAAGATGAGGACAGAGCATGCATAGGAATGCCCGAGTGCTGGGATGCCAATTCTTGACTCAACTCTACATTCTCTACTGCCTTTCTTGTACATCCATCCCTCCGCCATTTTTGTAAAGGGAAATTAATGTGGGCCAAGACGGTCAAAATTCATGGGCCTGAAACAGTCAAGTGAACAAGGAGACAAAATATTGACTCAGGTCACCGGACACCCAGTGGACTTGTGAACCAACATGCTTGTACTACATTCACACAATTGATGTTTAAAAACCCAAATCGACACACAACATTATCGTAGTCGTTTTCTCTTGTAGAGGACTTGGGGTCACTAGTTTTTGTTGATAGCCAGCATTCCAGGGTGATCTGAAATTGGCTTAATTTTAAATCTTTCTAAAATGTTGGATAATGTTATCATTGAAAAAGTGAACATACTTTTTAACTAGTGCTCTAGTAGGGTGCCACTTAAAAACCTCTTGCATCTTCCACCAAATGGTTAAAAAAAAATCTTAGATTTAGCAGTACTAATGAATCGATCCAGCTTCCTCCTAGGAAAATATTTCAGAAGAAATGTATTTCTTCTGCTGCTGGTAAAGGTGATGAAGCTACTGCACCATCAGCTCAGTTGTATGAACGGCACTGCTAGACATTCAGTTTCCAAAGTGATGTTTGAGTTCCAAGGAAAAAACGTGAAACTGTTTTTCAGATTTCAAGGGTGTTCAGATTCTGAAGTACCACTGTATAACAAAACACATAACGGGCAAACACGAATGTCTGCCTGTCTTCAGCTTGTCCTCCAGTGTGTAGCCTAACACCAGACACTCATCAGCAAAGTAAAGGACTAACTGACCACTGTGTTTCCTCTGAGGGGGTTAAGCATCAAGAGTTCTCTCCACAAGGAAAATCATTACATTAACACAATACATTCTAAACTGAATTACCACTATAGTTACCACTGCTACGTTCTTTAGACAACGACTCATAAGAAAAGAAACAAAGATTTGTATATCATTGCTGTAAAAGATATAACCAGTTCAGTACCTGTAACAAGGGTAATCCATAGGATCCGTCAGTGTGCCAGAAAGCGGGCCAAGGTCTGAAGTTGTCTCATAGTCTGGAGTATTAAAATTAACTGACCTTGGAGAGTATATGGCCAGATTTTCCTGCGATCTAGTTGAATAATAAAGTGTAACAGTAGAGCAATTAGTTTACAAAACGAAACAACTTTAAAAAAAAAAAACCCACACAATTAGTACAAAATGATTTTTCACTGTCTTCTTAAGTTGAAATCTGGAAGAATTTATTGCAGACATCTTCGCTGTGTCAGTTCCAGGGCAAATTTCAGAAGGAAAAAAGGAATATACCCACTGCTGCTTAACAAGCATGTCGTAAAAAGTGACTTATTAAGGATTTGCTGAAATCGGATGTACTGGCCCCAAAAGGCACAGATATCACAGCCTTGCCGTAAACCATAACCCAATTTGCCAGCCAAGAGAAGAAGTAGAAAAAGAATTGCAAACACTGGTCATCTCAGTACAGATACATTTATATGAAATACTGACAATATCATCATCATCATCACATACCCTACCGACTGGTGTAGGTGTTAGTGCATCTCAAAGATCTTGGTCCCTTGTCCTCTGGTCAGTTCCACCAATGATATCCCTCCATGCCACCAGTACAATCCATCCATCATCAACACTCTCGGTCTACCTCTCCTTCTTCTAGAGTTGATCTTCCCAGTCATCACAATGTTTCAAAACCTCCCCCTCATCAAATGACCAAAAAACAGTGCTTGTCTTCTCTTTATATATGTATAAATAGATGTTTCTTTGTTAATATATATAGGGAGTTCATGAGTTGAGTTGAGCTGAGCCAAGAATTTACATCACAGCACCCTGGGCATTCTTATATGCACTCCGTTACCATTTTCAGCAGCCAGCGCAGAGTTCTAATACTGATGGTACTGCTCATAGTCTGCTTATATGTCCGTCTGGCCTTTCCTCTGAGTGTGGGGAGCTGGCCAGACCCTCTAGTCACATCCAAGTGCCTCATTCTCTCTAGTCCATAATAGCCTAGTTTCTCTTCTGACTTCTTTACTAGCACTGTTCTTGACAATATAGAAGTTGACATTTAGATAAAATTGCAAATACTGGTTCTCTCAGAACAGTTGCTGAATAATACAGAATTTATTTTTACGCATATTTACAATGAACATGTCAAAGATGAGCAATTTTCATCGCTCCTTCTGATATTTTTTAATGTAGTCAATTATGTGTTTTAGTTCAAAGGATTCATTTATTTGCTTTATTTTAATCAACTGTTACTGTGGTATGCCCCTGACTAGATACAACGAAATATGCCAGGCAATAAATCATGCAGTCAATTGTTTGTACCTTCTTTGTTCAAATACTGATGTTTGTCTGAAACACAATGTGTCCTGAGGAATGGCTGGCTGAGTGTTTGGACACTAGGCTCTCATGCTGGAGACGCTGGTTTACATCTTGGGTAAAGTGATGGAAGTTATTTATTGGGGGCACAGCTAAACATCCTAACCTGCACAGTTGCTGGTGACTGCCCCTGCCATGCCAACCCTCCCCCCCCCCCCCTCTTACATTCTCAGGCTCAAGAATTTCCTGACTTACCACCACCCTTAAAAAAATGTGTACTACAGGCAGTAAAACTGCACTTTATCAAATCAAAAACATTTATGCAATAAACCCATGTCACTGGAGGTAAAAAAAAGAATTTTTGCATGCTATATAGAGCCAGTTTTATCAATTGGCTGTGAATCCTGGACAACTAATAAACAAGCCAAATCATTTCTTGAGGCTTCAGAGATATGATTTTACAGAATAATCCTTGCAATTCTTTGAACTTACAAAGGCAGCAACCCAGATGTTTTGAAAGAGGTAAGGGATTAAAGAAAATATCATATACATCAGAATAAGACAGCCATCATTTAAAAAAAAAAATTAAAATATTTTGAGAAGAAGGAAACTGGAACATGTTGTGATGACTCGAAAGATTTCTAGGAAAAGAGATAGAGGAAGACAATGTAAGACAAATCTTGACAGCCTTTTGTCGTGGCAAACTGATAGTGCTGTTGAAGACTGTAAACTGTGGACAGGCATGCTCGCCCATGCTAGTCAGCAAGGCACTTAATGATGATAATAAGCAGTAAAGACAGAAAGACACACATGTGTCCTTTTAGGGTTAAAACCTAGAAAATGTCAGATATTTTTGTTACTACAAGATACTATTTAGAAATATGAGCATCATTACCATCACTGTAAAATGGTGTTCACTGTGCCTTAGCAAACTTCAAGGGGTTTTAGAAAGTTGTTTACAGGTAAAGTCATAAACTTCCTGAACAAATCAATCTAAGGGTTTCAGAAAAATCTTTACAGGTAAAGTGATACATGAACAAATCAATCTAAGGGTTTCAAAAAGGTGTTTACAGATAAAGTGATAAACTCCATGAACAAATAAATCTTTGGGTTTCAGAAAAATCTTTACAGGTAAAGTGATACATGAACAAATCAATCTAAGGGTTTCAGAAAGGTGTTTACAGGTAAAGTGATAAACTCCATGAACAAATCAATCTAAGGGTTTCAGAAAGGTGTTTACAAATAAAGTGATAAACTCCATGAACTAATCAATCTAAATGCAAACCAGACCTTGTCAGCTTCCTAACAAAACACATCATACATGACAAAATGAAAGTCTTCATCAGCAAAACAAATAAACAATGATTCAATCACATAAAAAACACACAGGTAGACTTCGTTGAACTAAGTTTTGTCCCTTAGTGCTCAGTCTCTCTTTCTATGCAGATCTGCTGGTCGCACATGAGAAAAACCCAAACTCCACAGCACCAGCATCAACCCTCAAGGATCTCTGACACACATGTAATCGCAAACCAAAGAAGAGAGTCAGAAATAGCACTCACAACTTCTACATCAGCAGTTCTCAAATTATGGGTCCGACCCTTTTGAGGGTCGAATGACTCTTTCACAGCAGGGGTCGCCTGAGACCATTGGAAAAACATATTTACTGAAGAAGTAACGAAAATAATTGTATGGTTGGGGGTCACTGCAACTTGAGGAACTGAATTAAAAGTGTCGCAGCATTAGGAAGGTTGAGAACCCCTGATCTAGATCAGGAGGCACAGGACTGAACACTTTTGCCATGGATGCTAAAAAATACTAACCTGACTAGACGAGGCAACTGTCCATCTTTCAGATTGCCTTCTAGCAGAAAGCTTTCATCAGAACGATACTGGTCATGTAATTCATGCCGATCATTGAGGCCATTGTTTTCTAGAGCTGCAGCAACAGATTTGTGTCTCCTTCTATAATCTGCCTTTTCTATGTCAAACTAATGAATGCAAATATATATATATATATATATGTATGTATGTATGTATGTATGTATGTATGTATGTGTGTATAAATATATATATGTATATACACACACACACAACAAACATATACATATTTCAGATCAATAACATGGATATATAAAATATGCTAATTATTAGGGAAGTGTAACTCATTAATTACATGCCGCTATATATGTAACAGATATTATTTTCAAGTATCTTAAACTCTTGAAGTAACGTTCAAATTTTGAAATGAGCAGACTGGGAGATTCACCTCTGCTGCTGCCATTCATTAATTCAACAGAATAATAATCACATCTGTCGAACTATGCAGAATGATTTATAGACATACACTTTAGCATAGACAGTCAATGTATTTCAGACATGAGAATAATAGGAATGAATTCAAGAACTTGCTTACAACTGGCAAGATTGATGGAAAGAGAGCAAGAAGAAAGCGAAGAGATAAATATCTGGATGGCTTGGCCACATGAATGGGATGAGAAAAGAAAAAAATCACATAATCTGTGATTCTGGTGATCGTGTGAGATAGTGAAATATGACAGCCTATGTTTACCGACAAGGTACATGATGATGATGATGAAATATGCTTGTTGGCAAAATAACAACATAGGATTAAATCAATCAGGTGCCAATCCACAATACAGGTTGGTCCTAATGGATCTCTAACTCTCTGTCTTTTGCTCTGGTTGTAAACTGACAGGTTTCCTATTCGTCCATCTCATTATGCTATGTTCCTACTTGTACCGCTGTACACGTCTTGCTCACCTGCCTTCAACTCTAGGATTAAACACATTTAAAGAAGACATAATGCTGCTCCTGCGGTGACTGAAGTTCTCTATCCATGTGTTTATTACTCAACCTTTTATATGAGAGTGATTATACCATGCTGGTACCTTACAGAGGGAACATTCCGTGCATCAGTTGCTTACATTATGGGTTTGAATTTTTTTTTTTTTTTGATTTGGGTGCAATCGATGTCGGAGTCACAAAGTATTGTCCTTAAATTTAAAACAATTTTCAGCAAAAGAAGAAATATGTTTCTTCATTTCTTTTCTGATTTTCATTACTTCTTTAAAATTTATTTTGCCCTTTGAGAGCGACTAAACAGTGTGGAGGCACAAACAGATCATTATGGTCTGAGGAGAACATCACTGCGAGGAGTTACCAGGCGATCTGGCCGATGCTCAGCACTCAAGGGAAAGGCAAGACAGATGTACAATCAGGCAGTTACTGGTGCCATCAGAATCGGAACTATTAGTTAGTTGCCATAGACTGGGACGGATGGGTGTGTCCCGATGTTGATTCTCAATTCAACATTCTAAAATTCATTTTTCGACATTCATGTTCTCAGATTCATTATTTTTCTGGAAAAGGGAATAAAAATCAATCATCTCTGTGAAAAGTACTACTGTATTCTGGTTCATGCTAAATTTCCTGAAGAATGCAAATTTCAGTCTTTTTAAAAACTATTTTTGCCTAGCTGCAAAGTCTACACAGAAAGCTTCTTTTGCTGCTCTGGGTAATTTCAGAATGGTTATAACTCCAAAAAAAAAACTGATGAGGAAAATAGTTCCAGTGTGCTTGAAAAGCACTATACTATTGAGTAATATGGAGTTTATCAACTGCATGTGGGCTGATGGGTCCCAAATTAATGGAAAACTATTTGCAGCATGCAAATCAAAGACTGAAAAACCTGACTGTACCATGTCATCGCCACTTCTGGCCAGTCTATTCTGGAATAATAACTGCTTGTACAACTGACACACCATCAGTCAGAAAGACCACTCTGCTAAAGTTGCAGATATTTATACTAATAAATATGTCAGACACAAAATATGCAAATCTGCGAGACATCAGGAGCCTCTCTTGGCAGTGGTGAAATGTCGCAAACTAGCTTGGTTTGGGCACGTGGTGAGACATGATTTGATTGCAAAGACTGTACTTCAAGGAACATGGGGGGGGGGAGGGGGGGGGGGAAGTCATAGAAAAGAAGGGCAAAGAAAAACCTGGAATAACAACATCAAGAAATGGACAGGACTAAGTTTTCATACACTTATTCATCAAGCAGAAGACAGAGAAAGATGGCGGGTTTTATGTGCTATTGCTTCCATCACTACACCCCCACGACCCTAAAGGTTGATGTCAAGGGTTATGTTATGTTATTATGTTAGTTGCTGAGCAGATATCCATTCAGGAAAGAACAAACCACCAGAAGCACATCTGCCTCTGCTCTCTAACTGGAGGAATATGAACCTGTTGGTATAATGGGACCTTCAGTTTTTAATATATTCAGTTTACCTGATCATAGCTGAGCTTCTCTCTTGAAGATCGTACAGAGTTGTCTGTCACTGGGACAGGTAATGGGGACTGGTAGGGTGTTGATGTCATCAAGATTGACTGCGGTCTTTCACTTATGAATTTATAAGCCAGGAGAATCTAAGAAAAGTTAAATAAATTGCGGTCAGAAAAAAATTAGCTTTCCTGAACACAGGCACAACACTTTTATATTAAATAAAAAAAAAATCAGAATCAGAAAAAGATGAACAAAGAAGATTAACCAGCTGAAGTAACTGTGAAAGGACAATTAATATTAGAATAGATGTATGAGAATATGGAACACACGTGAACATTATGTAAGCAATACAATCATGTGAGAGTGTTTCAACACAGAAAAATTCTCATCATTACAGATTCAATGATCTGATCAGTTTGAGTTGATGAAGAACTTATTAAACCAACCCCCAAAGCCACTCGAGACTTCAGGAGTGGAGCTGCATATAAACTGCAAGATACCATCTGAAGAGGAAACTAGAAAAACTATCAACCTCCTGAAGGATGAAATCTGCTTGCTTTGACCATATCCTTGCGGAAGCCATAAATGCCAATGTAAACATGCCTAAGAAACTACTGCACAATTATTAAATTGTCGAGGAGACCGAAGGAATGCCAACAAATTAGAAAATCTGGTGGAAGTGTCAAAAAAGTAGGCCTGCTGTAGAGGAAACAGAGAGGAATTATTATCAATTCCTGGGAAACGAGTAAACAGGATCATTGTAAACACAGTAAGATATGCTTTTGACAAACTGGCAAATCTTCAACCAAACAATCCTACACTAAAGTACTACTAGCAGTAGTTGTTGAGGGTTCCAATTTCCCTGCAAATGGGTCACTTCATAATTGCTATAATCCTGTGTCTGTGAAAATAAAACAAAATGCCCTTCACATCCTTGTTTGAAATCTAGCCAAGAAAATTAGTTGCTTCAAAATCCAGAAACATGCCTACACAGACAGTAAATGCATAAGGGAGTCGCTACCAGAATGGCAATTTGTTGTTGATGAAAACAGTAAATGATGATAAGCTGGCTGTACTCATGCAATATTAATGCACAGGACACTTAGATCAAATGCAAACTGGCAGTCAGCCATTTTGAATTTTTGAATGTCACGAACAAATTGCTGTGGGCACAGACAAAAAGCATTCCATCTGAAATGCATAGCTCACAGTGTTGCCTCAGGCATTTAACTAAGTAGCTTAGGAAAACCATGAACATCAGTCTATATGTGAGGACTGCATTGGCAAACTGTAGCCAGAAGAAAAGAAAACAAAAGAAAAATTCAAAGCTTTCAAGGCCTAGTTGTTGCCTATTCACCATATCTAACCAGAAATCCTACAGATAATGACAGAGTAAAGCACTGAACTAAACTTGTTACTTTATATAGAACATCTTGACCATAAAATGTCTTTTAACAACACTGATGCCCAGGTCTCTCGCGTAGTTGGCTAAACTGGATTGCACGGTGACCGAGTGACGAACTCCTTGTGGTCCGGGTTCACTCCCGGGGGTAGGCAGAAAAGCCACATTTCTCCCAGATTTACGGTATTTACAATAGAATCAAGGCCGAAAGGTTGCAATATCCATAATACCGAGCCTAAGGGTTAACAACTCATGGCTTCTGGATACTAAAACAAACAAACAACACTGGTAGTGAATCCATTTGGAAATGTATAAACCACTGTGTGTTCAAGTGAAGCACATTTGCAGTTGGTATGAATGACTGACAGCATTACTGTGCAGCAAAATGACACCTTGTACCAGTAATTTTGGCATTCTTTTCGGCATATGGCATCATGCAACTTGAGCAATGTATTTAAATACTGTGTAGCATGTTTCTCTTTTACTGAGAAAATCCACAAGAATTACATCCACATGATCTTAGAACAATGTTTTAAATGTTTGCTTGTTTTTAATCTTTGCACTGAATTTCTTAGAAGTAATTTCCATATCACGGATGCTTACTTTGGCTCTGGTGTCATTCAATGCACCAGTTTCATTACCTGTAACACTATATGATAAGAAGTGATCTTGGTGTTTGTGTGTGTGTGTGTGTGAGTGTGTGTAATGCATAAGGTGGGAACTGCAGATGTGCAGTGACTAGTTGGCTGCCTACTAGTCCAAAGGATTTGGGTTTGAATCAGCAATGAAGTAGCCTTTTTAAATAACTGACCTTGGCTCCTACATCATCCCAGTCTAAAATAGGTACCAGGAATTGTAATGAGACGTAAAGGTGTCTGACACGATGCTGAGCACATCATCCGTCAAATGGTCTATACAAATACGTGTCTAGCACCACAGTGTGAAAAGTGTTCTTACTTTTGGGTTTGAATGCACAAGATGACACAGAGAAAGTCTTCTTCTTCTTCTTCAGGTCATGCACTTTATCCACTGTGGATCATAAACTGGAATGTCATTTCCAGGTCTCTCTGGTTTCCCCAAATCTAAGTTGTCAAGTCTTATGGATGTGGTCATATGTTGATTCACAGCTCCCCCATGAGAGGACAGTCTTGCCAGACATGTTCTGGAGTCTTTTCAGTATGAAGACACTAGCAGAGGGTTGTTTGGCTAATACTTAATTTACATCAGTGTTTCCTGAGTCTGCATTATACTATGCATAAGCAAATAATGATATCTTGGTCAATTCTATATACATATTCAAGGTAATATTTTTTATATCCAGCATTTGTTTTCCAGAGAGAAATTCTAACCCAATAGGCTTTGTGTTGTTTCTTTAACTCACAGAAATCTAATTATACTAGGCATTTCAAGGTTTAAACAATAATAACAAATACATGGATCAGAATAAACACACCTGGCCATAAGTCCCAATAATAAGCTCATTCTCCCCGTCAAAGTCGATGTCCATGACACAAGAACACAAGATGACATCCTGGGTGTTGCTGTGTGGCAGATGATAGTTTTCTGAGAGTCCACGGTTGATAACATCACTAAATGTAGGACAACTGATAATATTAATATTAACAAATATTTTTAAAAAAAGACTTTATAAAGCGTCATTTTACTCCATCAGTAACAAAAATTGCTGTAAAATTACAGAACACATCAAATTTTCTCGATAGCCATCATTAAACAGCCCACAAGTGCAAGAAATGTGAGAAGCAATCTGATTGGCTACTACAAAAAGCTGCTAGCCAATGACCGATCGGCCCAGTCATCCTTTTGGCTACTTTGCTTTGGGTCGATATTTCTGCCGCGTCATCTCCAGAGGGTTAAAATAATATGCTGTCTTCAATGAATGTATACGTCAGGTAAGGTTGGTTGTATTGGCTCTCCACTATCTCTTGTCATGGCTGTAAGCTTTGAGGCTACTGTTCTTCCATCTCTTGATGTCATTCTTTCATCTGTCTACCTCTTGCTCACTTGCCTTTAGTTTTCCCTCCAGCATGGTTTTTTTAATTAAAAGAATGTTATGTCTCTGAGTGTAGCTGAAACATATATCCATAAAAGGTGTGCTACAAGAGTACCTACAGCTAGGTGACTTGAAATTTCAATGTGTTGGCACTGAGTTGAGTTGAGTCAAGAATTGACATCACAGCACTCGGGGCATTCCATGCATGCTCCATCCTCATCTTCAGCAGCCAGCGCAGAGTTCCAATACTGATGGTACCAGTCACAATTTGGTTATATGTCCGTCTTGCCTTTCCTTTGAGTGTAGTCAGCTGGCCAGACCCTCAGGTTAGACCCAGATGTCTCATTCTCTCTAGGCCATAATAATCTTCTTTCTCTACTGATTCGGTTGCTTGTTGTGGCCTTGACCACATCTGCCTTGTCATGTATCAATTCACCACCCAGTGGTGCAGACCCAGCCAATCTGTCTGCTTGTTCATTACCAACCACGCCTGTATGGCCTGGAGAAAAGATCCAAAGTATGCTCATTACCCGTGACCTTTCCAGTAAAGCTTGCCAATCTGCGCAAAGCATCACTGTCTTCAATTTCTCAGCATGCTTTCAGAGTCTGTTACAATTACGACATGTGTATGTCTCTAGCCACCGGAGAGCTGCAGTTACAGCCTCCACCTCCATTCTTATGCTAGATGATGTGGTGTCCTAAGCCAAGCTGTCTTGCACTAAAGATTTTCCATTGGCTTCCACAACGAACCCCCAGGCATTTCGCTTTCCTCTCAACACCATTGAGTGTTGGCACTGTGAAAATGCATTCTTAAAACATATTCTGATGGTGAGAATCAAAAGGAAATATAAATACCAGAGGAAAGATGTGGAACTATAAGAGACAGCAAATACAGAGGACTTGGCAAACATTCTGTTATTATGTAACATACCAGAAAACAACAGCTGGGTCAATGGCCGATGTGATCAGCAAATTTACTGGTTCTAATTTATGCTGACCTTTGTCACCTGGACGGTTACCTGTGGAGTCAACATTGAATTAGTTAAAATATGTGAGCTGTCTAATGTCTGTCTGTCCATCCATATATTCCTTCCCCTGCAATTTATACAAAACTAATCTTACTATCGCATACATCTGTAGAAATGTTTTTAAAATACAACATAAATACGATCATGAAGTTGGTTATTTTAATATTTGTTTCATATGCACAATAAATATATAACATTTGTCCAAGAACAAAACTAGGAAGATACAAAGATGTCTGCCATGATTTTCTTCAGACTTATTGCCGCAGTCCTAACATGCTTGGAATAACCAATTTTTTTGTGTGTCTTTATTTATTTTTAAATCTAGCAAGACACAGTCTGGCATCTGACCTAGTAAGGAGTCTAATTCCTTCTGCTGCATTATTAAATGTATGGTTGAGAAAAGCAGCAAAAATGCAGGGGCCTAGCAAGAAGCTTTGTTTGACTAATAATCATTAAAAGAGGTCACAGATTATAAACAAATTGGATTATTCATGTTGTGTCACTGTTACCCGGAAGGATCAACATTCAAAACGCTATTTTTTTTTCAACCTGCTTATATTTCCTCCCCTCTTTTTTTTTCTTTAATGTCATCTTACTTGTTTTGTAATATAGCTTTCTATGTTCATACAACACCCCCATCTTCCACATATTACACATTTGTTGTTTCATGCTGATCTTGTTTTTTTTAGAAACTCTGTTATCTTTTGCTTTGAGTTTACTAGTGACAGTTTGTGTTGTATTTATAACTCCGCTGATAAAGAACTTAGTTGAAACGTTTGGTTATGTTTGTGCACGTCTTTTCCATTCCTGCCGTGGAGCTTTCTAGTCATATTTTATGTTTTATTTAGCACATTGTTATCAAGGCTACAACAGGGAGCCATAGAAGCTAGAAGTTTGTCAGCTGGCCCAAAGCTCAGCCTGAAGCTGCTGAGACTTTTAGCTTCACCTCACACTTTAACAAATGAAAAATATGTCTGCATCAAATATGAGCAAGCCTTCCCTCTTGATATTTCTTCCTCTTCAGCAATCTCTGGTTATGTGCCCAATCCACTGCAAATTTGGATGTCATCTCAAGGTCTCTTAGGTTCCTCAAAGCTCAGTAGTCAAGTCGACAGGGTGTGAACACATGTCTCTTCACAGAACCGCCAGGAGAGGACAGTCTTGCAAGACATGCTCTGGAGTCTGTTCAGCACGAAGACACTGAACAAGAGCTGTTCGGCGCATACCTAAATTTATATAAGTGTGTGCTGGGTCTGCACTGTTCAGTGCACAAGCGAAAAATTGTGAGTTGGTCTCTTCTGTTCAGAGGTTTTAATATTTAAAAAGACATACCTTGTTTATGCAAAAACTCTGGACAGTCTACATTTGTATACTGGGTAAATAACTGGAGGCTGGTGATTGGGCTGTCTAACTCTGTGGTCCATGTCTGCTCAATTTCTGGAAACATAATCAAAGAAACCACAAGAAAGAGAAAATGAGATTTAAAAAAAATCAATATGTGCGTGGCAGGATAACACACAGTGATAAATAAGACATCAACAGTTTGGAAGATTCAATGTACACTGGTGCAATGATACAAAACTGTCGAAGATCCTCTTTCTTGGTCTCCTCGATCTCTCTTCCCCTGTAGCTTTCAATATGTCAGAACACAACAGTTTTCCCTTTCTCATGACATGACCAAAGCATGTGGATTGTCCTCTTCTGATGGAAGTAACCAGTCAGTATTCTTGAGAACAACAATCTTCATAACGTTTTTTTTTTTCCTGTCTTTGGGGTTCTCATCATTCTTCTGTACAAGGTCCATCAATAAAGTAATGAGACTAATTCCATTAAATTAAAATAATCAACAGTTGATGATATAACCTGTATTTTATTCAAAGTAAGCCTCTGGTGCACTGATACAGATAGTGGCATGATCTAACAAACACTGGAACGACTACTGCAGTTCTTCTATTATAATGGTCATTAGAGTCGATGTTACGGCTCTTTATATACCATCAATATTGTCAAAGAAGCGTCCTTTCAATGGCAACTATAATTTTGGAAACAGAAAATAGTTACAGGGAGACTAATCTGGGGAATAGGGTAGATGGTTGAGAACATGCATTTGTTTTTGGGCCAAAAATTCCTGCACAATTACTGCCCTTTGAGCTGGTGCATTGTCATGAAGAAGGAAAAAAAATTACCAGGTGTTGAATACAAACCGACAAGAAACTTTTTTCCTGCCCAAATCTTCCACTAACATTTTACGAATAGTCTCTGTATTAACACCACATTCATCTACCATTATCCTCACAGTCGAACAATGATCTTCCTTTATCCGTTCTCGGAATTTTGCAATGAGTTCTTCATTGCGAACAGAAATTTGTCTTGGCCATAATAAAATCAGTCTCATTACTTAATTGTCGGACCTTGTATTATAACTCATCTCAAAAGCTATTCTATAATTTTTCAACAATCAGCTCTCTGGGATCAAGCAATCACTGCAGAAGAACAGACAGCATCTATATCTGATTCAGCTGGCAGTAAACAGAGGGTCTGATTCAGCTGGCAGTAAACAGATGGTCTGATTCAGCTGGCAGTAAACAGATGGTCTGATTCAGCTGGCAGTAAACAGAGGGTCTGATTCAGCTGGCAGTAAACAGAGGGTCTGATTCAGCTGGCAGAAAACAGAGGGATCTGGATGATTTTCTACCCACAAAAGAGGAAAATAACATAGATGAGCTTCTGATGAGGTTTCAACTGACACCATCAGTATGGACACTCTTTGTTAGCTACTGAGGAAGGGAACAGAGCACAATGGTGTTGTGCTGAGTGCACTGATGTCAATTCTTGATTGATTGATACTAATCTGCAGACTGATTCAAAACGAAATTAGTAAAGAAAAAAGTATTTAAAAAAAAAAATACTTATACAACACTGGATACTGTCAAAAAAACAACAACTTGTCACATAAAATGACATGTAATCAGTCAGTATAAGATATCGCGAAAAATTGAAATGCTGATGAAGAGAAAATTAATTTCTCAGTTTCAGAGGTCAAAAGAAATTAGACATGATCAAAATGACATCTAACCCACCAGAAGTGACCACATTCACTAGGCTCAATGTGACAAGTCCACTCTGAACTCCAAAGACGGTCAATCTATGTGCGCCATCAATCTGTCGAAACTCCATCTGTGTCACACTAGATAGATACAAATAAACAGTCTATCTAGGCAGGAATTAAAAAATGTTTACGCTACAACATTCTGTCTACAATACTTTTTCTTTTGTTATCACAATGTTACCAGGTTTTAGCCCAGCGTCTGAGATTTTTAGTATTTGTGTTGACTTTCTTGGGTGGCTTAAGTGATGGTTTCTTCATCATTCTGTTGCCCATCTATCTATTTCTTGCTTCTTCCTTCCCTCTCACCTTTTACCCAAATGTTCTACTGTGGAAGGTCTAATATACTGTTTGATCATATATTCTCATTAGGTGGCTAAACCACTTCATTTTGTCTTTCAATGTAATTCTTCTTCTTCATCTTCGCATTCACCTGCTGTAAACTCCAGTGGAAAGGTCTGGTTGGTCATCTACTTCAGGAGCAGTTGTTCAAGAACTGGAGTTTTGTGTACACATCAGTTTTACAAATCTGAGTTATCTGTGTGCAGACTGTTAGCTCCTTGCCTCTCAGGCAGATGCACTTCGACTCAGAAGGAAACATCCCTAATTAGTACTTTTATAACATGCTTGTTTGGGGCAGTGGGTTTATTCTTTTTTTTCCACTCTCTTAATCAAGCCCCGAAACAACATAGGGACAATATAATTCAAACTACCACAGTGAAACTCTCATACCACTGCCTGAAAACCATGTGAACGTTTTTTTTCTAAACCACCTGTGGCATAAATCACACCCTGGTCTGTTGATGATAGTCAAAGATATTCACCAACCTCTAAACCACAGAACCCTACAGCAATGAAACATTCTGAAGTGTGGTTCAGATTTTATTTTTTTAAAAACACCAACTTAGGGAGGTTTAAACCTATGATCGCTAAGCAGACAGGCAAGTCTGCTAGTTTCAGCAGTATCACGCCCTTCACAAATCCTTAGAAAAAAAAAAAACCGTGTGTAAAAAATATATTTTCATGTTCTTCTGTGACAGCTATAAAATCTGACTCAGGTTCCAAAGTTCTCCTGCTTCTTCTTTTCCTCAAGTTTCTCAGGTTAAAGTTTCAGACCATTTTGAGAATGCCTTTCTTTTATCATTCTATATGAAAATGTAACTTTTGTTTTGTATTTTTATTTTCTTTAGAAACTCATCGCCTCCTTTCTCGAAAAAAAAAAACCAATACCATTACTCCATGTAAAACACTGGTACAAAGTCACACACTCTGTACCTCCTGCGATTATATTTTAGATGTGGTCAAGGCCCTTTAGAAGTGAGTGAACGGTGTCGTACCATAAAAAGATAATCTCAGCCCGAAAGACTGACATTTTACCCCACTAGGACATCACACTGAGTGAATATGTATATTTGTGTGCATATATTTGTGTAAATACACACATATATACTTACTTATTTACTTAGTCGCTCCTCTTCTACCTTGGGATGTAGAGGTTTGCCAGAAAGATCGCCAGACTTCTCTATCAGTAGTTTTCTTTCTGGCTTTGTTCCATTTCAGTCCTCTGTCAGTCAGGGACTGTCTGATGTTGTCTTCCCAGCAGACACTGGGTCGCCTGCAGGTCTGGTTCCATGATTCTTAGCCTCCCATGGTGGCCGATTTTCTCCCATTCTGCATACATGTCCAAAACATCATAACTGTGACTGATCCACTCGATCCTGTAAGGCCTGGGTTTCAAGCTCCTGACGTATTGTCTGGCTGCAGACTTTGATCTTTCTTGTCACTAGGACCACATTTATCAGATATCTGATTTCTGAGGCCTGAAGCTGGCTTCTGTGTGCTGTAGCCAGTGCCCACAACTCAAACCTGTAGGTCAGGACTGGCAAATAAGTAGAGCGGTAAACAGCCATTCTCGTCCTCTTGCCAATTTCTCTTTTCCTAAAAAAACCCTCAGTTTATGGTGTGGAGAAGTCTCATGGCAGCTGCTTTTCAAGTAGCCAGCTCAATTTTAATGCCTCCATTTTGATCTATTACAACTTCAAGGTATCTGATATATACATTCATACACACACACACACATATATATATATATATATATATATATATATATATATATATATATATATATATATATATATATATATATATATATATATATATATATATATACGCATATATGTGTGTATATATAAGTATATATAAGTATACTTATATATATATAAACACATATATGTGTGTATAAATACTGATATATACAAATATATGTGTGTATATACATTCATATATACACACATATGTGTATATATAAGTATATATACACACATATGTATGTATATATAAGTATATATACACTCATATGTGTGTTTATATATATATATATATACACACACACATAAATGTATATGGGATCTGGCTGACACTAAAGACTCAAAGAAAAGGCAAGACAGACATACAATTAGAGTGCTACTAGTATCACCATATATGTAACTTTGCAATGGCTGCTGAATATGAGAATAGAGAACTTATGGGATTGTCAGCTATCAACTCAACTATTGTTTGTAGAACACTGCACAAATACTATATGTAGACTGTAACCATAATCCATTCAGGTTAGTTATCATCATGGATCATTTAAGCTAAACACCATTATAGCTTCTTCAACAAAAATCTAATAATGACATTATATTTATAAATTTTTTTTTTAATGCACAGAAACAATGCAATAAAGCAACCTTACCATCCATCAATGTTGATCAACTCAGGGAAATATTTATCCACAGCATCCATGTCATGATAGAATGAAGGGTCATCTTTTGATTGCTGAGAAAATACAACATCTGCTAGAATTCTTAATTAAAAATCTGCATCACAGCACTCAGGTCACTTCTTTAAGCACTCTGTCCTAATCTTCAGCATCAAGTGCCAAGTTCAAATTCTCTGCTAGACTGCATACTATACAGTCTCTGCTAGACTGCCTACTATACAGTCTCTGCTAGACTGCCTACCATACAGTCTCTGCTAGAGTGCCTACTACCATACAGTCTCTGCTAGACTGCCTACTATACAGTCTCTGCTAGACTGCCTACTATACAGTCTCTGCTAGACTGCCTACCATACAGTCTCTGCTAGACTGCCTACCATACAGTCTCTGCCTACTATACAGTCTCTCTAGCTATACATTCTCTGCTAGACTGACTACTATACAGTCTCTGCTAGACTACCAACTATACAGTCTCTGCTAGACTACCTACTATACAGTCTCTGCTAGACTACCTACTACACAGTCTCTTACAGATTGCCTGCTATACAGTCTCTGCTAAACTACTTACTATACACAGTCTCTTACAGATTGCCTGCTATACAGTCTCTGCTAAACTACTTACTATACAGTCTCTTACAGATTGCCTGCCACACAGTCTCTGCAAGAATACCTACTATACAGTCTCTGCTAGACTGAGTACTATACAGTCTCTGCTAGACTGCCTACTATAGTCTCTGCTAGACTACCTACTATACAGTCTTTTACATATTTGCCTGCTATACAGTCTCTGCTAGACTACCTACTATACAGTCTCTTACAGACTGCCTGTTATACAGTCTCTGCTGGACTTCCTAATATACAGTCTCTTACAGATTACCTGTATACAATCTCTGCCAGACTACCTACTATACAGTCTTTTACACATTGCCTGCTATACAGTCTCTGCTAGACTACCTACTATACAATCTCTTAAACATTTGCCTGCTATACAGTCTCTGCTAAACTACCTACTATACAGTCTCTGCTAAACTACCTACTATACAGTCTCTTACATATTTGCTGCTATACAGCCGCTGCTAGACTACCTACTATAGTCTCTTACAGATTACCTGCTAAACAGTCTCTTACATTTTTGCCTGCTATACAGTCTCTGCTAGACTACCTACTATACAGTCTCTTACATATCTGCCTGCTATACAGTCTCTGCTAGACTACCTACCACACAATCTCTACTGCAGCGTAAAACATAAAATTTACTGTTATGGTAATGAGACACTATCTCTACATCCACAATTACAGCAGCTAGGAGAGAAAAATGTAATTTTTGAAGGTCTGGAGGTTGTTGTGGCAAGTGGTCAAACAGTTAGCCTCATTTAAGTTTGTTCTTAGACTGTGTCGTTGAGTTCATTAGTAAACATTGTTTTTAAAGATCCTTAGAAATCAGGACTGGAGCTATAGTGTTAGTGTTTTGTGCAAAGCTCTCGGCAGGTAGCCAAATGCTAAACTGGCTGGATTTTCTAGCTAGTCTTCTACAGGATGAGGTAGGCCCTTTCATGCCAATGACTAACTTACCTCAGACAACAGGCAAAGTAAGTTCACTCTTCAGTACCAGACATATATTACTTAACTCATTATATCCCGGCAGCCACAGTGGTGTAGTGGCTAGATGCTTGCCTGCAGATTCAAAGGTTATGGGTTCAAATCTGAACAGAGCCAGACTTACAAAATGACTCTTCCCCGTGTGGCTACCCGGGCCCCATTGAAGGAAAAAACAAAAATAGACCCACTGCCTCTCCAACAAGCAGGTCGTAAGAGATGACTAATTGGGGGCTTCCTTCGAAGTCAGTGTGCATCTGCTTGAGAGGCAAACAATAAGCATACAATGGAGTCAGATCTGTTGAACAGATGTGCACTCAACACTCAGGTTCTGGAACAAGACTAAAGTCCTGAGGTGGACAAACAAGCAGAACTTTCCACCGGAGTTTACAGCCAGTGAACATGAAGAAGAAGAAGAAGAAAATAACACTGGCTTCCAGCTTGACCGAGCTTCAAAGGGGTATCAGCAAAATTCTGGAAAGTAAAGGTTGTCAGCATGTGGTTGACTACATCACACACTAAGTGCTGATTGGTCTATAAAATACAGGTTTAGCACTATATGCCCAATACACTGTAGGCGTGAAAAAGGGTTCTTTACATTTAATTCAGAAAGATTTTATTTTAATTAATAAAAGCCTGGATCACAATGAGTTAAAATAATCATACAATGAGACAGGGGAGTTAAACAACTGGAGCAGAATAGGTTAATATTTTAACTAGCTGTGGCTTTAGAAGTTAAAGCAAATATATAATGTAAGTATTAACAAAAGCATGGTGAGTTGTCTGGTATAGAAAGACTTAACCTATGACTTTTCTTGTTTTTCTTTACTTGCCTCAGTAACATATGCGGAAATTGCTGTTACCTAGGGCAACAGTGACTAATGAAGAGAACTGATTGCCCACATCATGAGGAAACAACTGGAGTACATCATGATGGTGGAAAGTTGAAGGGGAAAAGAGGCAGAGGGATACAGAGAGATACAGAGAGAAGATGCCAGACAGTCTGACATTATGGCATGGAAGATCATTAGTATATGAACTGAATGAAAGTACATGAAATATAACACTACCTACAACACAGGGCATGGACTTTAAGAAGACAAGAATAGAACTGTAGTTTAGTCAAAAATAAAAATTTGTCATTTAAAAAAAGTGTTAAAAAAAAAAAGGTGTTTAAAGACAAATAAACTGACTTTATTGCTACAGGCTTTATTCATTATGATTTGCTCCATCTCCATAGAGTTGCTGCTTAGCCAACAAAAGTGCTGCACAAAGCTTAACCTCCAAAGCTCTAGCAATGACCTGCATTCACAAAGTTTAGAGCAGAGTCCACAGTAGAACTCACAACTTTCAGAGCACAGTGCTAGTGGCTAAACTACTTTGTCGCAGAAAGCTCACAAATTGTTTTATTTCTTGTTAATGAAAATTGCTAGTTATAAAAAACGAAATGAGATGTCTTAAAAACAAACAAAAATAGATACAATTAAAAATTAAGCAATCAGAACAAGACTGGGACTGAAACCAGTCATCCAATTCATTAAAGAGCAACAGATGAGATTGTCTGGCCACCTGATGAGAAGGCCCTGGTAACAGCCACCACAGAGAGCCAGGCTGAAGAAATAAAATGAAAACAGCATTAAAAAAGAGCTTTACAAACGAAGATCAACTTATGCAACACATTAGAAAGAGCTCAAAAAAGATCCTCACATCTCCTCTGAACATCTTGAAGGGGTAACAAGAAGAAGAGAAGCAGAAAAAAGCTATGTAAAAAGTCACAATCACAAACCTGCCTGTAAATATGAATTTTATTGTCATTTCCACTCAGCAGAAAGCAAACTTCCTTCTGACCCTCACGCTTGTAGATGCTTACAGATATTAAAATCACACAGATTACACATTTACAAATACAGAAACTGTAATTATGATGGGACTGTAATGTGAAATAATTGCTAGTATATTTGTTAACATTTATGAAGCAATCAACAGCTGACATCTCATGTACCAGTCAAGATGTTCTGGGTCACTGCCGATTAATGTATTCTGCTTTTTCTTCTTCTGTTCAATGGCAGTAAACTACGGCAGAAAGTTTTGGTTGTTTGTCCACTTCTGGCCTTTAAACTTGTTCCTGAGTTTGTCATGTACATCCATTTTACAGGCCTGGCGTATCTGTATGCAGACTGTTGGTTCCTTGCCTCTCTGGTACATGCACTCCGCCTTTGAAGGAAACACCCCTAATTAGTCCACTTTTATGAAAAGCTTGTTGGGGTGGGGGGGGGTGGGGGGGGGGGGGGGGGGGGGGAGAGGGTATAATCTTTTTGTACCTCCCTCTTTTCCCCAAATGGGCTCCAAAACACATAATGCCAATTAATTTGAAAACTAAAGCTAGTTACTGTTCAATGCAAATGTCTTCTGATCCTCTATATACTTACATTATCACCTACAGATCATAATATTCTAAATAAAAGGGCACAGTTCAGAAAGAGGCTGGTTTACTTTGCTCCAAGAACCTAATTTACATTAGTATTATGTATGTTTATATATGCTCATGTTCCTCTTGGTATCCGACTGGAGTCTGCTCACAAACTAAACAAAATAAAGGTTCCTTTTTACGCCAGTGGCACAGTGGGCATATGTTGTTAGACTCATATTTTTATAAACCAATCAGCACTAGGTGGGTAATTTGTTCAGAAGCATGCTGGATGCCTTTACTTCCCAAGACATTCCCAATACCAATTTTGGCCAGGATTAACCAGGAATCATGGTCAATTTTTAATCCAATATAATGCAGATCTAAACTCAAGATCTTCAGGTCGGTAAGGGAGTATCTACCCATGAAGCTCCTGTAGTTCCCCTTAACAAAGTGAAAAAAAAAAAATAAAAACTGTGGGAGAAACATGACCAATCTATACCTAATCCTAGCCAGTACCAGTGGTACCGCTGGTTTGATTCTACGTATAGAAAGCAGAAAGAGAATTCAACAACACTATGGGAATGGTACTTTGCTAGATGAGCTACTACTTGTCTGTTTGCATGCAAAATCATTTTCTAAATAACAGAAATACTTCTTTCTAGCATTCAAGTCAGTGGTCAGTGGACACGGTTTCGCCCTGTAACTGCTAGTATAAATCACATATGCTGCATTTTAAAATTAAAGAAATAAACACTTAGCTTCCTGTGTGAATTCCGCGTCCCCACAGTGGGGAAAATAATAGACCCACTGCCTCCCCAACAATCACATCATAAGAGCAGACTAACTGGGGGCTTTCTTTGAAGTTGGAGTGCATCTGCCTGAGAAGCAAGAAACCAGCAGTCTGCATACAAATAAGTCAGATCTGCAAAATAAATGTGCATGGAACACTCAGGTTTTAGAGCAAGACTGAAGTCTACAGGTAGATAAAGAACCAGAACTTCAGACTGGAGTTTCAGCCAATGAATACAAAGAAGAAGAAATATTCAGTTAGGGCAAAATCCAGAAACATTTATATTCATGTTCAATGTAGATAACAAAACACTTACTAGTGGTGCATTAGCTTGAAGGGAATGAAGTCTAGGTTCTGTGTCTGAGAATCTAAACCAGGAAACAGAAAACATGTATATGAACACAAAAGCTAACCTTGTGTGAATACTGCTGTTCCGTGGACTTTGAAAATATTATTCTCAATGCAAAAAGCATAGAAATAACATATGTTCTCAATGTTACAACTAAACTATATATCTGATCTGCAAAAACTGTTGCATAATATTAATATTCCCCGTGTAGGTTTCAGGGCCCTACTGTGCGAAAAAACTTGAACAGACCCTCTGCCTCCCCAACAAGCATGTCATAAGAGTCAACCAATTGGGTGCTTCCTTTAAAGTGCATCTACTAAAGTGGCAAGGAACAACCAACAGCACACAAATAAGCCAGCAAAACAGATGTACACGCAAAACTCAGGCCTTGACATAAAAGAAAGTCCAAAAGGATGAACAGCCAGAATTTTCCGCCGCAGCTTACAGCCGGTGAACAAAGAAGAAAGCAGAACAAGAAGATGTTGTTACAGTGTGTAAAACAGGACTTCTTTTAAAGAACAATCGCTCAGCCACACAGGACTGCACGGTACAGCACTTTAAATAAATGCCACAGGTACCATAATTATAACTTCCTTGAATGGGGTACACTGGTTCTGCCCTGTTGGGTTCCTGTCCAGGATGCAACTCTTTAAGTTACAAGGCGGTCAAATCCTCAAGTAGAAGCCTAGAGTGGAAAACAGATTATTCTGAATATGACTTGAATGCATCAGGACAGCACAATACATGAAAGTAATATTTGATGTTGCCATAGGGCCCCAATTATAATTGTTACAAAAGGCTAAACAAGGTATCTAGGATTGATATGTATAGCACTGACATCTGAAATATGGTAACAATCTTTCAAGTAGCACACCCAGAAAAAAAAAACAGCTTTTTTATTTTCTGTCAGGAAAATGGAAACCTTCATTACAGAAAGAGAACATCAAAATGGGAACTGAAGACAAAAGGAAAAATACTTACCACAGTCAAATATTTCACAATATTTGGGAGTGGAATCATAGCATGAGAGGAAAGATGTGTTGCAAAGATTAAGAACAGGATATAAAAAGCAGCAACTGTATTTCAAGAGATGAAAAAAAACCTGACTGAATAAGTAACTTTCATTGAATGTTGGAGAGTACGCTGACTTCACAATGACTTTGATGTAGTTATTTATTTTACAAAGAAAGAACATACTATTCAAAGTAACATTAAACAATCACATCATTAAAATACTTTTCTTTCACCAATGTCTCCTACCACTTTTGGGTGCTAATCACGAAAGTCATTACATCTCGTTCAGATACGAGATTTCATGGCCGTTCCCATGGGCTGTCCTATGTTCTAAGGCTGTTATGGGATGCCTGATTTTCTAGTCTATACACATAGTGGTGAAAATTGGCTCAGCTCATTCGCCGCGGTCGACACACTGTCTCCCAGACGAAACTGTGCAGCTTTCTTGTCGCAACTGTCTTTTCTGTGAACGGCTGTCGTTTCTCAAATGTGTTGTTGTTGTGAGTAGCTCAGGACCCACAGGTGCTTTGTACAAGGAACAAGTACTGCAGGGGGAAGTGCCAAAGTCGCAATGGGTCGTGAGTATCAAATCATTGATGGTTTTGTATTTTTAAGCTTGCTGGTGGCTGTCATCAGTGCTTGATGTGTTTAAAGCGTTTAAAACAAGCAAAATCTGACACCCCTAGAACATAAGACAGCCCGTCGAGGACAGCCCGTGGAAACGAATACGAAATCACACAGCCAAGTGAGATGGGGTAAGATTCGTGAGTTGTTCCCACTTTTGCATGGAAAGGGTCGACTTAAATACTTTTATATGTCAGTCTGGGAAGTTAATTCAGTTGAGAAAACTAGCAAAGTTCAAGTTTTTCCTATTAAAGACTTTGGTAGAAACTTTTGCTTGTATTTATATGTAGTCACTTTTTTTCTGGAGCTTCTGAGAAATATTTTGTATTTATTTTATTTTCAGAATGTCGGAATGAGTTTGATTGCAGTCACCCATATCTTCAACCCCATTTTAGGCTTGACTATATGTGAGATGATGAATCTTACGGCGCAGTAACTAGACTTCTGCAGATAGCCCACTGGTTTATTTTTGTTTGAATCCGCATTAAAGCAGAGTTTATAATTAACACAGGGCTCCCAGGTTGCCCTTCAAAAATATATAGCAGGAAATGTCCAGTGAAGTAAAGGTGGCCAGGATGATGCTGACCACCTGACGTATCAAGTGCTGATTTGTCCATAAAAATATGTGTCTAGAACCATATGCTTAATGTGCTATTGATGTGAAAAGGGCCTTTTACCATTACCCAAGTATGAAACCAATCTTTGATGTGAAAACAAGAGATCCAAATCTGCTTACGTGTGATGGCATCCATAATATTTGGGTAGGGTGCATCAGACTGCCTTCCAGGAAGGAAGTAAAAATTCATACAGGCACTTGGAGACTTTTCTTCAAACTGAGTCCCAAGCTGGAATAGAAAAGATTACTTTTCAGAATATAGCCCTTTTTTTTAACATTATTTATCATTTTTGAGACGATCAGTATTAAAAAACCCATGAAGTAATGAAACAGATAATTTCATAAAACTTCTCACAAATCGCCCATAGGTCTTCAAGGCAAGGTTGTGACTTTGTGAGCTTCCTTATGAGGACTTCTAAGAAACAAAAGCAAAAGATTTAATAAAGAGATTGCCTAACATACAATGACATTAAAGCCACACACAAAGATGTAGAAAGCATATGCAGGTGCACTATAATGGACAAATGGGTCACAAATGCCCACAATCTCTCAGAAAAAAAAAAAAAAAGGTAAGTCATTATGAATCGGTACTCCTGTCAAATCCGGACGAAGAATAAACAGTCTTGGACGACTTAGTCAGAGTTCTCTCCCGTGGCCGCACTCCAAACAGTGATCGGAAAAGCCACAACGAAACAAAGAAGACAGTCACGTCGACATCAGGGCTGCCAATGCTTGGTTGTTTCCCCCAGATCTGGGTTTTTTTTCCGACGCAACAGGACAATTCTGGGTGTTATTTTGGGTGTATTTTGTTTGTTGGTGTTAGCCGATTTGTATGCTTTAATGATCGATAAATTTGCGTGGTTAGGGGGTAGGGGTTAGGGTTAGGGAGTAGGATTAGGATTAGGGTTAGCGGTAGGGTTAGGTTTAGCGTTAGATTTGACAATTTTGACGCCGGAGTTCCCTATAACCGCGCACAGTCCCATACACACAAACAAACACTCGAGGGCCTCTGGATGCTGGTCAAACGCACAATTCGCCAACGATTGGGGCACCAGCCGCACGCTATTGGCGTCATATTTGGTAGAGTTTCAGTGGCGCCACTCCCACAAACATCAGATTGTCGGCCAGTATTTCAAAATCCTACGTCAAAATTTTCACATCTAACCCTACCCCTACCCCTACCCCTAACCCTAACCCTACCCCTAACCCAACCACTAACCCTAACCCTACCCCTAACCCTACCCCTAACCCTAAACATAACCCTACCCCTAACCCTAACCCTAGCCCTAACCCTAACCCTACCCCTAACTCTAACCCAACAACCGCATGATGACTACACACCCATTCACGATGCCTTACGCAACCGTACGCAACCCTGCAAGCAACCATATGATGACCACGCATCCCTTCACGATGCCTCACGCAACCGTACGCAGCCCTACACGCTACCGCAGGATGATAGCTAAGTGTGTCGTTTGTTTCGTTTGTTTTCCGATCACTGTTTGGAGTGCGGCCACGGGAGAGAACTCTGACTAAGTCGTCGGATTTTACAGGAGAGCCTTATGAATCTTCTTTCCACCTTTCTTATTTATGTCTTTTAGTCAAAAGCAGGAATGCTATCTGAACGAAGTCTGTGTATAGACTGAGTACATAGTGGTGGTTGCAGTCTCACCTATTCAACTACATTAGGGCCCTTCAGTGCAGAGACTGAACCTATCACATCTCTATTGTCCAGTAACACATTGGCAAAAGATCCAATGTTGGTCCTGTATGTGTTCCGGACTCTATTATGAGGATAATAGATTCACTGCCTCCCCAACAAGCATGTTGTAAGAGTCGACTAACTACAAAGTCACAGTGCATCTGTCGGAGAGGTGATGAACCAACAGTCTGCACACAAATAAGTCAGATATGTAAAGTGGATGTGCATGCAACACTCGAGTTCTGGAACAAGACTAAACAACCAGAACTTTCCGCTGCAGTTTACCACAGGCGAACACGAAGAAGAAGCTCATATGTCTACAAAACATTTGACCATGATAAATACACAGATGCTCCAATCATTATATAAACAACATCAGCATGGGAATGAGTACCTTGAGGTAGGAGATGGCAAGCACTGTGTTATGTTGAATATCTTGACAGATGACATCTACAGACACAATCTCTGTTTCTCCTGAAGAGACAAAAATTTAGTGTGATGTGTAATCATATAATTACATACCATATTTGTATGACATGCATATAACTGTGTATAATTATGAAAACAGATTTCCATCCCAACTGTACCTCCTGACAGACTGGATTAAACAATATAATTCTACTGCAGTATCTGAGAGGAGGACTGCCTCACATCTAATTTAGGAAACTGGTTTTCCATGAATTCTGAATGGATTATAACTGTTATGTGTCAGAAAACCGTGTTTCCCACCTTTCTGATTGAATATTCCTGTCAAAATCAGTGCAAGACTGTCTGCTGCCAATTTTCCTACAGCTGGGTAGCTCAAACTGGGTAGCTCAGAATTACGAAGGGATGCTACTGGAGATTGCAAAATGTGGAGAAAAATTACTCTCTTTGCCAGCCCTGGTCAGGCAGCCTGTGGCTGGGTCTGTCAGTGTGTTTTTCTCCTTTGAGCTGCTACATGAAGGTGTGACCATCCCTTCAACTTCAGGAGTTTCATTCTGGATAGTTAGCCAATATGGCATATCCCAGAATTCTGTTTAACCTCCAAAGAAATTATCGGGCATCTGTAATGGCTAAATCAAGAATTACCTTGCTGTCCAAATCGGGTCAGGATGGAAAATTACTTTGGATTCCACTGGCCAGATTGTCATCATGCATTCCTCAAATAAGGTGGATACAAGACAATGAAGATGCAGTGGCTATGAAAGCACATAGGGCTGGAGAACTGGCTTGAGAAAGAGAGACTTTCAGGCATGACGTGAAGACAGTGACATTCTGTAAATGACCTGCTGACTGATGATAATGACAATTCCTCAAATAGACATGCTTTTAAACTGTTAATACTAAATGCTATATTTTAGAACCTAGAAAGATTTTATTGGGTGAGACACAGTGGGTCCTAAAGCTTGAGTCTTCTGCATTAACTCTTTCAATCCCAGAATTTCAATTGAAGCAATAATAATGAGGATAACAAAAGCATGGGTATACTGCATCCACAGGGTCCAAATACACAGCACAATATGGGGTACTTGTGTTTTTGGATTGATTCAGTTTGCCTGCCTAAATTTAAGATGTACAAATATACAAAATGTTGACTAGAGCACAGGACCAACATCCAGTACATGCACATGACTAACATCCAGTTTATATGCTGCATTGTTTGGGACTTAAAGAGTGAATGTTTACATCATCAGAGCCCCGATAAGGACTTACATCTTACGTGATGAGGTTGGTCTAGACACTTTCCTTCCATTCAGCTACTTGAGCACCATCTCCATAGAAACAGCACTGCAGAGCTTTCCTTCCCCTCTCCAAGTACTGGAACCAGTGGGATACTCCAGAGGAGTGTGGTGATCTTAGAACATTAGCCAGATTCTGTGGACCACTTGTGCCATGGAAATGTGCACACACAAAAGTCTTGGTCGTTTTCAGTCCCACAACTCTGTAGCCTAATTTGTTTGGTTAAAAATGTTCTCATTCACTTATTCTCGCTGTGGGCCATATTACGCTTAAAAAAAGGGGGTGCGGGGGCAGGTGTTGACCCCCCCCCCCCCACACACACACATTAACACAAGCAGGTTATAAAAGGTGGCTTATCAGAAGTGTTTTTTTCCAAGTCAAAGTGCATCTGTCTTACAGCAATGGAACAACAGTCTCCATATAAATAAGCCACATCTGTGAAATGAATATGCATGCAAATAATCAAGTTTTGCATCAAACCAAAGTCCAGAACTTTCCACCAGAGCTAACAGCCAATGAACGAAAAGAAAATTCATTTATTTGCTCAGAAAAATCAAATGCATCTTACCACCGGGTCCTTGATGGTTGCCGGTGCTGAGGAGAATGTCTTCTCTAGTGATAGGTATGATTTTGTTGTCAGCAGATTTTTGGTATTCCACAGAAATTAATTCACCATTTATCGTCGCCACTATAAGTTTTATCTGTCCTTCTTCAGTCAAAATTTTTGACAACCCATACACATTTGATTGTGATCGAAGACCACAAAAGTGTGCATCTGTCCAATGGAGCTGTCTTGCTTCCATGATGTGAGATGCAGCCTGTAAAACTGCAAAATATACATTTGATTAGTTTTATCAGTTTTGGACTAGCTGATGATTGCTAGTAGTTAAGTTAGATCAGTAGTTACAGTTCACTTTGATTTATGATAATAATAGTACCTGTCATCATACGGTTGCGTAGGGTGTAGGGTTAGGGTGTGGGTTAGGGGTAGGGTGTAGGTTAGGGGTAGGGTTAGGGTTATTGGTAGGGTTAGGGTTTAAGTTTGCTTGCGGCAGTGGCGCCACTGCCACAAGCATCAGATTGTCTGCCATCATTTGGAACTCCTGCGTCAAAAGTTTCACATCTAACCCTAACCCAAACCCTACGCAACCGTATGATGACAGGTAAGTATGTCATTTGTTTCGTTCCCTCTTTACACTCCATATTTGCAATGCAGCCAAGGGAGTGAACTCCGACTAAGCGACCGTCGGCTTTCCAGCTAGCGACCGTTATTTAAAGGAGAGCCGTTTTCTGGCTTTCCTAAGTAGCAGCAGTAGACTAGTTTGGCAAAGCCATATCTTTATTTAATATCATAATTACTTCTTCTGCTCTTTATCCCCAGTGGAGCATAGGCTCCTCAACCAGTTCAAGCCATCCTTTCTTTTGCCACTGCATGCACCTCACACCTATTTTAAAAAAAAGGGGGGGGGGAAGGGGGTTATCTGCCTCTGTGTTTATGACCCCTGTGTGTTCCAGTGTAAAGCCATTCTAGTTGTACAGGGCTCATATTTTTCTCACTGTGTGTCCTATCATAATGACTAATTACTAGGATTCGATTTATCATCCAGTTTCTCGCAATTCGCATCGTAGGGAGGAGGGTGCGGAATATGGGGGGGGGGGGGGGGGGGGGGGGGTTCTCTGTGGCCCTGTGCTCTCACGGCTCTGCAAGTTATGGGTTCGTTTCACGGACGCATCGTTCAGTTCACGCGTACAGGTTTGTCTCCAGGGATAAAAGCTGCAGCTACGGGGTTCGTGCTTTGTGCGACGCTCTCTGTCGTTCTGATAAGGGAGACAGTTGACAGAGTTTCATCGGGAAAAAAACAAAGTGTAATGAAGGAGAGATCCTCTCGATTTCAACTTTCAACTGTCACAGTAGTGCCGTCGATTCTTCCTGAGAATAGTATTAATGTGAACCAAAACTAATCTGAAATCATGTATATTTTAAACAGAAAACATACTGTTACTGAAACTGCGATAAATATTACATTTGCAACGGAGATAATTTTCAAGTGAATCTACAGAACACAGAAGATAAAACCCGTGTCATTATTTCAGCAAGTGTTGATCTTTTGTTCCGTGACTTCTGACTGAGGACAATCATTTTGAAACGCCCCACGTTTCACAACTTCCTTTGCAGACCCGAACCAAACATGGAGGCCGAGAACACGACCACACATGGACAAAATGAGGATTTTCTGCTTCCAAAAACAAAGTCTAGGAAAAGGAAACAGCCAGATATGGATACAAGTGAAATTACAGATCCAGTTACAAAAAGGCCACACTTTAAACCATTGAAGGCTATTGTTGGATCGGTAAGTATCATAATGTGTGTGCGGGTGCGACCCACTGACTGACTGAGTGCAATATTTCAATTTCAGATTTAATTTTAATGACTTTATGGACAAATTAAACCATGCTTTTCACCCAATAAATTAGAGGGTTACCATGAATGTTCTTTTTGAGAATCAACGTCACAGCACTCAAGACCTTTCCTTAAAACAAGTAAAACGCAGCAAGCGCTGAGTTGAAATTCCCGTGATACTAGACTAGTTACTTTAGTTTAGTCTTTAGTCAAATTTTTAAAATGCCCTCTACAATAATAAAACCAGCACAGTTAGATAGCTGTAAACAATCTCTTTCCAATGGTACCTCATTTAGGCTTGTATGTCATTTCTGAGCTGAGATATGTAGGTTTTTGTGGAGATGGGAGATGAGATGTAAAAAACAGCTGCTAAAACTTGTCTCCCATAAACAAGAAGTTTTCTCTGCGCAACCAAACTGCGCAACTTTCGTTTTGGCTTTGTTTACATTGGACTGTCATTGGACAAGATGGCAGCCAATGACGAATGAGACACAGCCACATAATAGCGATTGCCTGAAAAAATGTCACTGTAAATCTAAACAGTCACGGACAAGAAAGAAATTGGACGGAGAATTCAATTATAACTAGCATTACCATGTCTGGTAATGTTTAAGGCCAAAGCCAACCTTGAAAACTTTACCGCTATTTTCAATCAAACTGATGTAACAGGAAAACAGGACGTCCGGCTGTCGTAGACATGCGCTGTTAATCGGGTTCCTTCCCGCTGTTTTCAGCTATTTAGAGTGGGTAAAAATCACACCAATCGCAAAATTTCATGAGAGATTAGGACCCATCCCGAAACCCCAGCCGACATTTCCGAAGCAAGTTTCGAACGGTTTCCGTGGTAACGGAAATTGCCAAAAGATCGCAAATTTCCGGACACCATAGTCGCTAACTAGACAGTCTGATCATGTAGCCGTCTCACCTCCCCCCCCAATTGTTGATAGTTGGCCAGATTCGGTTGTCATTCCTGGCAGCACATTATCTTCAGACCATGATGATGCATCTGTGTCTCCAGAGTACCCACCCCCAAAGGACCCTTATCGCTAGCCTGTCATGCATCAATTCACCACTAAGGTGTGCACTGTAGTCTGTTTCCCTGTTCATTTCCCAAAACACTGGCGTACCCTGGGGAAAATATCCAAAGGATTTATAATCTGCCTAGGACCTCTGAAGGCAGCGATGCTTGCCACTCTTCATGGGGCATACCTTTCTCAACATGCTCTATGAGTCAGTTACAGTTATGACGTGTACAGCTGATTCTCAACCCAGCAGAAGGCTGTAGTGACAGCCTCAACCTCCATTGCAAAAATATAAGAAACTGGAAATGGCAGTGTGAAAAAAACTCACTGACCTAATACTATATAAGTGTATAAAATAGCAGAAAAGTAATATATGAGAGCCTGATAAGATAAATTGAAACATAACTTATTTTGTTATGTTTTATATGAAGACACTACTTTAAAGTGTGACACTGATCACCAGACCTCCAAGCTACTAACCTCACAGTAGCAAGCTACTAAAAACAGATTGTACTCGGTCATTGAAGCCACAAGTCGAGTTGTGAGTCACTGGACAAAACCTCAGGTCAAGTAGACACTTGTTAACTGTATGACTTGAATCACACTCGAATCTAACTCTGAGACTTAGTCGCACAACTTGAGTTCTGACCTCTGCTTTAGACTTGGGTTTATTTACTAAACTTCTTACTTAGTAACCAACTGCTATGAGTAGAATATGGTGATATATTTGAATATAAAGCATCCCTCATCCTGCCCTGTATTTGAAATGCTCTCACATTTGATTTACAGATGAAACCAGGCAGTAATCTGAAAACAAATCAAATCATATTTCTGCAACAATGCATCAAATCACATGAGAAATGTTAATGAAATATACTTATGCTAATTTTATTTTGTCAATGTTTTTGGCTGTCTGTTGCTTTGATTTAAAATTGTGTGTTTACTCTAATTTTGTGTAGGCAGTGAGGTAGGCATATTTAAATTTAAGATACCTAACTGTTGACTTCTGTATATTCTGTTTCCATATTGACAGGGTTCTAAATCAGAAATCAGACGGATACCTGTTCCCCCTCATCGATATACACCGCTGCAGAAAGAGTGGCTGAAAATTTTCACACCGCTTGTAGAAAATCTGAAGTTGAATGTCAGATTTGTTGCAAAGAAGCGACAAGTAGAGATAAAGGTTTGTTTAATTGCAGTTTTTTATATTAAAGCAGTGCATGCAGTTTCATATTGATTAAAACTGAAATTAAAAAAAAAATATCATTTTGTAAAGGTGTGGAAACAGCCAGCTAGGGTTCTGTAGTTATTTATATATTAGTTACAGTTTTAAACTAGGAAGAAATGTCTAATTTGTGTTCTCTGAACTTTGCACTAGTTGCTGAAGTAAAATACAATATGACTTTGTTACTTTTTGTCTATATCAGCATCCTACCTATTTGTGCTCTTTCCTGCGATGGCGTAGCCATCTCAATGGCTGCATGATTAGTACCCAGTAGGGGTTGACTGGCGTGTCTTCTTTATCTGCCCCACAACCGGTTCAGCATGCCTGTCCTTGTTGAACACCAGTTTCCAATAGATTAATCATCATCTCTGATTCCTTTGTCTCTGGAGGGCAGCGCAGCACATTCAGTATGTCCGCTGTGTATGTACTTCTAGACACCGCCAGTCTGTTGCTCTCTCATTACCTTTCACTCTGGCTTATCCCAGTGTGTACACCCAAGATAGTTTCTTGAGGTGTGACTTCTTAATACTGTCAACCCATTCTAGTCTTGCCAGTTCAGGGTGTTAGTTACTTTTTATTCCACTACCATGTAGTTGTCCCTTTGACAGCTGCTGCCTTCATTGTTGTGCTAGAAGTAAGTAGTTGAACTGACTGCCTGACTCTTTTACTGTCTTCCTGGGAGTTCACCTACGTTGTGTATGCTCACTTAGATTGCACTCGCAAATCACTGAGCCATCTATATAGATTATGACGTCACTTGGTTGAGTGTGCTTGTGGATGAAGACAATTATTTCAGCAGCTGTTTGGCTTCATTCTCTGCAGTAACTGCCCAGGGTGATTATTACTTCAGTGTGTTCCAGCAATTATTTTGCTGTTTCTATCCCTTCATCACCAAGTCTGACATTTTTCTATGGCAAATTTGGTTACTGGTGTCCTCTGCTTCCGCCATCAAGGACCCTCCCCACCCCCTTTTTTGGTGCTTAACTTTGTTCACCCTTAGGCAGCTGTGCAGAGGTTGTTTTATTTCAGCAGCAACATCTGGGTACACCCTCACCCATGAATACTTCGGGTCAAAATGAGCGCTAGACGGGGGCACTGTTTGGAGCCGAGGCAAATTTTTTGCTTCTGCTGGGCGATGGCCATTGCATTTTTGCT